AAGCAAGTTTTAATTGAAGTAACTTGATGCTGACTTAGGGTCAGTCATGCGAACTTGCAGCCACCTCGGCAGTCGAATTCGAAGACATTTTGGATTGCTCTAGATAACAGTCTTATTACTCTAGAGACTAAATATGATGTAAAGAAAGTTACTGGTTTATTAGCTGCACTATGTAAGATAAACTGTCACCACAAACTACTGAAAGTTTAAATATCAAGTTCAATAAAAGCTAATTCTCTTGTGCAGAGATAAGTCAGGGTTTTCAAACACCTGGTCTTGTATACACTTATGTGGAAGTCAAACCAATTTTATTCTAAAATCCCTATTATTGCCCAATTTTACTTTAAACTATATTGATCAAACTTATTGTAAACTTCTTTTATTGACCATTTTTATTCCATACTTTTTTAAACTAGTATTTTCAACTACAACTTTTATATTATCCTGTCTATCATCTTACTAGCATATTATAACCAAGTCATTGCCATTTTTATTTTTATCATTTTTTTTATTATTCTTTTGCTACCTTAATTTGTGTATTTTATCCTGTCAATTTAAATCTAATTATACTCTAATTCTTGTAAACAACTTATATAAGACCTTAGTGCAATTACAACTGAGAGTCTTGTGCCTTTATTATATTATTAGATTAATCACAGTTTTACTCTAGGTCATTCTAGCTCAATACATAGTCAATACCAAATTCACTATATTAGACCATAGTGAAATTACTAGTGAGAGACTGGTGCTATTTGTAATTTGTATTTTTATATTATTAGACTAAACCTAGTTGTACTATAGCTCTTTCTAGCTCAATACATAGTAAATAACAAATTCACTATATTAGACCATAGTGCAATTACTAGTGAGAGACGGGTGCTATTTTTAATTTGTATTTTTATATTATTAGATTAAATTCAGTTGTACCATAGCTCATTCTAACTCAATACATAGTCAATACCAAATTCACTATATTAGACCATAGTGCAATTACTAGTGAGAGACTAGTGCTATTTTTAATTTGTATTTTTATATTATTAGATTAAACCTATTGTACTATAGCTCATTCTAGCTCAAAACATAGACTCCACAAAAGTCATTATTAGACCTTAGTGCAATTACAAGTGAGAGTCTTGTTCTATTTTTAATTTGTATTTTTATATTACTAGTTTATACCTAGTTGTACTTTAGTTCATTCCAGCACAACACATAGACAGCATCAACTTCATTATGTGTAGTAGTGACTATACTCTACATGACCAAAATACTCTAGCTATATGCTTGTCCAAACTTCCTATCACTACAGATATCAGTACTAGAACTCAACACACAACTCAGGATATAAATAACCATAATTTAAACCTAGAAGATGATTGATCACGTTGACCCTGATCTAAACCTACATAATCTGACACCCAATCAAAACCTATTGGAAAGTAACTGCCTTTATTACACAGCATCACAAGCCAGCACTATCCTAAACAATGCTAAAAGTCTATCAATACTTAACTGCAACATCAGGTCCTTAAGCAAACACTATGATGACCTCCTGGCACTCCTTGAATCACTAAAGACACCCTTCTCCTGCATTATTCTTACTGAGACCTGGCTTAAGCAGGACACAATAGATATCTACCCTCTACAGGATACACAGCAATTCACAACTGCAGACCAAACCAAGTTTGGGGGTGGTATTGCAATCTATTACTCTAACCAATTATCTTGTATTAGCACCACTTGCTTTAGTGATGAATATGGGGAATACATTTTTGCTAATTTTACTGTAAAAAAACCTTAAGACGCCTATAACAATCGGTGCCATTTACGCGATACCTCACACAAACATCCCAAATTTCAGTGAGAAATTAAAGTCACTAATAACAAACAGACAAATGAATAAGCACCACCTTCTCTTAGCTGGAGACTTCAACATCAACCTTGGCTTACTAGATGATCAGCCTGTAACTGATTTCATCAACAATATGAACAACACACTTCTCATACCAACAATAACTAAACCAACCAGGCTCACTGAGAACAAGTGCAACCATAATAGACCACATATGGACCAATATACTAGCCCCCCTTAAATCAGGGATAATCACAGATAGCACTACAGACCACTACCCTACCTTCCTCCTGACAAACATTAGTAAACCACCACTTGAATACAACAAAGTCTCATTTAGACTCCATGACGAGGCCTCAGTAAGGAAGTTCACAGCTGACCTAGAGACTGTTGACTGGCTACAGAATTCTCCAAGGCCAATGGTATTGATGACTGGACAGACATTTTTCTTAACAAATTACTTAGACTATACAACAAACATTGTCCTATAAAAACAAAACAGATCAAAAACAAACGGCTTGGTTGCCCATGGCTAACCAGCACCATTCTGAAATCCATTGACAAGAAACACCAATATGAAAAGCAATATAGACAAGGCTTAATACACAAAGATATTCTTAAACACTATTCATCAGCTCTCACCAAAGTAATAAAGAAAGCCAAACAACTATACTACTCCAGTAGATTCACAGGCACTAGAGGAGATATAAAAAAGACCTGGAAAACACTCTCTCAGATTCTAGGGACCCACAAACTGAGAAAAACCAAGAATATCATCCTAACTAAACCTAATGAAACACCACTACATCCCACTGACACAGCTAACAAGATAAACGACTTCTTCTCAACCATAGGATCTAATCTCACCAGTAAAATCCCACATACCAATGCCCATGCCGGGGACTCCCTAGATGGGAATTTCCCTAATTCCTTCTATTTTGCACCAACTGAGCCCACGGAAGTCACCGAAATTATAAAGGCACTTAAAAATAACTCGGGGAATCTGTCTCATGTCCCACCATTACTGTACAAGCGAGCGTTTCGCATGCTATTTCATTACTCTTTAACAAGTCACTAGAGACTAGCACCTTCCCGAAACTACTCAAGATGGCAAGGGTTACACCAATACATAAAGGTGGTGACCCTACAGACTTAAACAACTATAGGCCAATATCTAACTTACCATTGCTATCCAAAATCTTTGAGAAACTCATGCACAGGAGACTGTATTCATTTATAACGGCTCAAAACATACTCAACCCCTGCCAATTTGGATTCAGGAAAAATAAAAGCACTAATGATGCAATCATAAAAATGCTAGATTCTGCTTTACACAGCATTGGAAAATAAGGAATATCCACTAGGAATTTTTATTGACCTAAGAAAAGCTTTTGACACAGTAGACCACGACATCCTACTCCACAAACTTGATCTTTACGGTATAAGAGGCCATGCGCTTGCTTATTTCAAATCTTACATTACTAATAGGTATCAGTATGTCACCATTAAAGACACAGAATCAGCAACACGGCCACTTGATACTGGAGTTCCACAGGGAAGTGTCCTTGGTCCCCTGCTCTTCCTCATATACATCAATGACCTTCCAAACGTATCCCAACACCTGAAACCCATTCTCGTTGCTGACGACACGACTTATGTCATCTCTCACCCTAATCTTGCCACCCTCAACACCATTGTTAACGAGGAGCTGATCAAAATATCGACTTGGATGAGAGCCAATAAACTTACGCTTAACACTGACAAAACCTACTATATTATGTTTGGTAGCAGAGCAGGAGATGCACAAATTAACATTAAGATTGACAACACTCTAATTACCAGAAATAATGGGGGCAAATTCCTAGGCTTATACCTTGACAACAACCTGAATTTCAGCACCCAAATCCAGCATATAACCAAAAAAGTATCCAAAACGGTTGGGATCCTCTCCAAGATACGATACTACGTGCCGCAAAATGCCCTTCTCACACTATACCACTCACTTATTTATCCATACCTCACCTATGCTATTTGTGCTTGGGGATCAACTGCAGCAACACACCTAAAGCAATAATAACCCAACAAAAAGCTGCAGTAAGAATAATCACTAAATCCCATCCCTGGCAAACACCCCCCCCACTCTTCATAATCTAAAATTACCCCCTGTTCAGACTCCACACTTATCTGTGCAATCACATCTACGGACCTTAAACTCCAATTAAAACCTTGATAAGACGCTTTCTTGATAGTTGTGACAGAACCCACAGGCATAACACCAGACCCCAAACATCTCTACTGGTTTTTTCTTTTATCGGTAGGGGCCCCCCCTGCTTTTTATTGGGGGAATTTTTCATCGTCTGCCCGGGCTTTTTCTTTTCAGAGGGAGTGATTTTTTGGGTTTGTGCTTTTTTGGGGGGCTTATCCCTCTTTGGGTGTTCCAAGTGTAAATAATCGTGTATTTTTGCCTGGTTTCAGGAGTACAGGGGTTGAGGAACTTTAAGCGTTCCAGAATGGGGTGTTTTTCTCCGTTATGTGGCCCTGAAAGTTTTTCTGTACATTTTCTAGGTTTTAGCAATTTCACCCGCTTGAAAAGTGCGTTAGTGTGCGCAATATTCAAACCTAGAAAAACAAGATTGATGGAATGAAACATCGATTAAGGTAGGGGTGATTTCCCCAAAAATCCTCCCGTTCTTCACCCCCTTTCCCTTTTTATGGGTGTTTAAGCCATATATGGGAAACGTTTCGTCATTAAGTACCCCGTGTTTCCATGTGTCTAGTTTATCAGTTTTTAATGCTCTTTGGGGGGCTCGTGAAGACGATAAATCTAAAAATACGGTTGGTTCCTCAACAATTACAGGTTAACCAATAAAATAATAAGCTGACAGCTGGACTAATGGTATTGCAGTAGATGATGGTGGTGTAAATGTAAATTCTTTAGTTAGCATTTACCGATATTTTAGTTTTCGCAATGTGATGTTTATGTTGTGAAAGTAATTTTAATGTTGGTGAGATATAGTTTATAGCTGTTGGTGCTGTGGCAGTGATAAAAATAGTGGAGAAGTTCAGATCATTTCTTAATATTATCACCAATCTTTTAATATTCTTCGTCACACTGCGTTTGAGATAATTTATTCCTTCATCTCAATTACAGGGGGCGGCAGAGGTGGCAGGAGCAAAAAAGAGCCAAGATAGAGGCTAAAAAGGCAAGGAAGGCTGGGAAAGGTAAAATTAACCGGTCAAGATGGACAGATCCCGATCAAGAAGACCTGGATCTGAATGCCTATAAGCCTTCAATATACTGGAACTTACTCGTCCTCTCCATCCTCTCTGTTGTTGTCTCCGCTTTCGGTGCCTTTATTTATATGGAGGTCAGTTGAGTTGAGTATCCCAGAGTAAGCCAAGGCTTGATAGGAGGTAGAAGTAGCTTATGCCAAGTCTTTAACGAGTCAGTGTTTATTGTGTATCGTATTGTATACAGTACAAATGTAGATAAAGATTCAGACTAATCATAATGGTGGATGATTGTTTTTAGCGCAGATTGTCTCACTACCAACACGTCTTGATGCAGCTATAAAACAGCTTCAGGTCAGACTTCACTTTTGATGCTGTGTCGTTTTCGTACTGTCGCTGGACCTCCCGACTTACCTGTGCATACTCATTTCTGGCTCTTCGACAGATCTCTTTATTTTCCTGGGTCCTTTGTCTTCTGTACATTTTCCATTCTCTAGCACACTTAGTTTTTGCCTCTCTACACCTTTGGGTAAACCAAGGACTCATTCTGGTCTTCCAAATATTTATGTTGCCCTTGGGAACAAATCTCTCCTCAGCCTCCTTGTCATGTAGTCCATTATTTCTTTTACTGATTTTCCTGCCAATTCTCTTTCCCACTGAACCTCTTGCAGGAAGTGCGTATTTACTCACCTAATTGTGGTTACAGGGTTCGATTCATAGCTCCTGGCCCCGCCTCTTCACTGGTCGCTATTAGGTCATTCTTCCTGCCCCATGAGCTTAATCATACCTCTTCTTAAAGCTATATATGGATCCTGCCTCCACTACATCACATCCAAGACTATTCCACATCCTGACAACTATATGACTGAAGAAATGCTTGCTAACATCCCTGTGATTCATCTGAGTCTTCAACTTCCAACTGTGACCCCTTGTTGCTGTGTCCCATCTCTGGAACATCCTGTCTCTGTCCACCTTGTCGATTCCTCTCAGTATTTTATATGCCGATATCGTATCCCCCCTATCTCTCCTGTCCTCCAGTATAGTCAGGTCGATTTCCCTTAACCACTCCTCGTAGGCCATGCCCCTTAGCTCCAGGACTAGGCTTGGTGCAAACCTTTGCATTTTCTCTAGTTTCATTATGTGCTTGGCTAGGTGTGGGTTCCAAACTGGTGCCGCATACTCCAATATAGGCCTAACGTACACGGTGTACAGGGTCCTGAATGATTCCTTATTAAGATGTCAGAATGCTATTCTTAGGTTTGCTAGGCGCCTGTATGCTGCAGCAGTTATTTGGTTGATGTGCACCTCAGGAGATGTGCCCGGTGTTATACTCACCCCAAGATCTTTTTACTTGAGTGAGGCATGTAGTCTCTGGCCTCTTAGACTGTATTTCGTCTGCGGTCTTCTTTGCCCTTCTCCACTCTTCATGAGTTTGCACTTGGTGGGATTGAACTCCAGGACTCAGTTTCGGGACCAGGCCTGCAGCCTGTCTAGATTCCTTTGTAGTTCTGCTTGGTCCTCGTCCGATCAAATTCTTCTCATCAACTTCACATCATCTGCAAACAGGGACACGTCTGAGTCTATTCCTTCAGCCATGTCGTTCACAAATACCAGGAACAGCACCGGACAGACCTCTGTGGAGCCCCACTTGTCACAGGTGCCTACTCTGACACCTCACCACGTACCATAACTCGCTGTTGTCTTCCTGACAGGTATTCTGTGATCCATTGCAGTGCCTTCCCTGTTATCCCTGCCTGTTCCTCTAGCTTTTGCACTAACCTCTTGTGTGGGACTGTCAACTGCTTTCTTACTGTCCAAGAAAATGCAATCTACCCACCCCTCTCTCTCTTGTCTTACTGCTGTCACTTTATCATAGAACTCTAGTAGGTTTGTAACACAGAATTTCCCATCCCTGAAACCGTTCTGGCTGTTGTTGATAAATTCATTCCTTTCTAGGTGTTCCACGACTCTACTCCTGATAATCTTTTCAATGACTTTGCATACTGTACATGTCAGTGACACTGGTCTGTAGTTTAATGCTTAGTGTCTGTCCCCCCTTTTTAAAAACTGGGACTACATTTTCTGTCTTCCAGTCCTCAGGTAGCCTCCCTGTTACGTTAGATGTGTTGAAAATAAGGAATATCCACTAGGAATTTTTATTGACCTAAGAAAAGCTTTTGACACAGTAGACCACGACATCCTACTCCACAGACTTGACCATTACGGTATAAGAGGCCATGCGCTTGCTTATTTCAAATCGTAAGGCAGGAACGCCCCTTTGTAAAACCATGCTGAGATTCGTTGATTAATTTATGCTTTTCAAGGTGGCTACGAACTGCCTCGGCAATTATTGATTCCATAAATTTTCCCACTATGGAGGTTAGGTTTATTGGTCTATAGTTCGAAGCTAATACCTATTTTCAAAACAGGTGACAGGTCCTTAGCTTCGAACTATAGACCAATAAGCCTAACCTCCATAGTGGGAAAATTTATGGAATCAATAATTGCCGAGGCAGTTCGTAGCCACCTTGAAAAGCATAAATTAATCAACGAATCTCAGCATGTGCAAGAAAGGTATAAAATACCGACAATATGAAAGTTAAGACACATGTGCAACATCTGGATATCTTTATTGTAGACGTTTCGCCATCCAGTGGCTTTATCAATACAGATTCTAGGACATAATAGGAAGACAGTAGAACTATATACAAAAGATGAGGTAATCAGTCCCTCGGCCTTGGAGTTAGTGTTCACAGCATCGTGGTGGAGGAGAATCTGGAGCAAAGGCAAGAAGACTGGCGTTTATATAAACTGACGCTTATATGACTGACGCTTATATAAACGCCAGTCTTCTTGCCTTTGCTCCAGATTCTCCTCCACCACGATACTGTGAACACTAACTCCAAGGCCGAGGGACTGATTACCTCATCTTTTGTATATAGTTCTACTGTCTTCCTATTATGTCCTAGAATCTGTATTGATGATAAAGCCACTGGATGGCGAAACGTCTACAATAAAGATATCCAGATGTTGCACATGTGTCTTAACTTTCATATTGTCGGTATTTTATACCTTTCTTGCACAACTTGTCAGACACTGCAACATCATGGAATCTTGGTTCAGAGGACATCTACAAGACCTTCTTCACGGCTGCTGCAACTAACCCATCTCTTTGGGAAGGACCTACTTCCACTGGGAAATCCCGCCTACCAGTGACTGCCCTCGTCTGCTGCCCGTCCCTTCCACTGACGCTTATATAAACGCCAGTCTTCTTGCCTTTGCTCCAGATTCTCCTCCACCACGATGCTGTGAACACTAACTCCAAGGCCGAGGGACTGATTACCTCATCTTTTGTATATAGTTCTACTGTCTTCCTATTATGTCCTAGAATCTGTATTGATAAAGCCACTGGATGGCGAAACGTCTACAATAAAGATATCCAGATGTTGCACATGTGTCTTAACTTTCGAATCTCAGGATGGTTTTACAAAGGGGCGTTCCTGCCTTACGAATTTATTAACTTTTTTCACTAAGGTATTTGAGGAGGTAGATCATGGTAATGAATATGATATTGTGTATATGGACTTCAGTAAGGCTTTTGACAGGGTCCCACATCAGAGACTATTGAGGAAAATTAAGGTACATGGAATAGGAGGAGAAATTTTTTCCTGGATAGAGGCATGGTTGACAAATAGGAAGCAGAGAGTTTGCATAAATGGGGAGAACGCAGAGTGGGGAAGCGTCATGAGCGGTGTTCCACAGGGGTCAGTGTTGGGCCCCCTGTTGTTCACAATCTACATAAACGACATAGATGAGGGCATAAAGAGCGACATCGGCAAGTTTGCCGATGACACCAAAATAGGCCGTCGAATTCATTCTGACGAGGACATTCGAGCACTCCAGGAAGATTTGAATAGACTGATGCAGTGGTCGGAGAAGTGGCAGATGCAGTTTAATTTAGACAAATGCAAAGTTCTAAATGTTGGACAGGACAATAACCATGCCACATATAAACTAAATAATGTAGATCTTAATATTACGGATTGCGAAAAAGATTTAGGAGTTCTGGTTAGCAGTAATCTGAAACCAAGACAACAGTGCATAAGTGTTCGCAATAAACCTAATAGAATCCTTGGCTTCATATCAAGAAGCATAAATAATAGGAGTCCTCAGGTTGTTCTTCAACTCTATACATCCTTGGTTAGGCCTCATTTAGATTATTCTGCACAGTTTTGGTCACCGTATTACAAAATGGATATAAATTCTCTGGAAAATGTACAAAGGAGGATGACAAAGTTGATCCCATGTATCAGAAACCTTCCCTATGAGGATAGACTAAGGGCCCTGAATCTGCACTCTCTAGAAAGACGTAGAATTAGGGGGGATATGATTGAGGTGTATAAATGGAAGACAGGAATAAATAAAGGGGATGTAAATAGTGTGCTGAAAATATCTAGCCTAGACAGGACTCGCAGCAATGGTTTTAAGTTGGAAAAATTCAGATTCAGGAAGGATATAGGAAAGTACTGGTTTGGTAATAGAGTTGTGGATGAGTGGAACAAACTCCCGAGTACAGTTATAGAGGCCAGAACGTTGTGTAGCTTTAAAAATAGGTTGGATAAATACATGAGTGGATGTGGGTGGGTGTGAGTTGGACCTGATAGCTTGTGCTACCAGGTCGGTTGCCGTGTTCCTCCCTTAAGTCAATGTGACCTGACCTGACTAGGTTGGGTGCATTGGCTTAAGCCGGTAGGAGACTTGGACCTGCCTCGCATGCGCCAGTAGGCCTTCTGCAGTGTTCCTTCGTTCTTGTGTTCTTATGTTCTTATGTTACCTTACTAATAGGTATCAGTATGTCATCATTAAAGACACAGCATCAACAACACGGCCACTTGATACTGGAGTTCCGCAGGGAAGTGTCCTTGGTCCCCTGCTCTTCCTCATATACATCAATGATCTTCCAAACGTATCCCAACACCTGAAACCCATTCTCCTTGTTGACAACACGACTTATGTCATCTCTCACCCTAATCTTGCCACCCTCAACACCATTGTTAACGAGGAGCTGATCAAAATATCGACTTGGATGAGAGCCAATAAACTTACACTTAACACTGACAAAACCTACTATATTATG